TTCTATTTAAACGAGAATATTTTCCAATTATGATTACATTCATACTTTCCTATGTATTACAGAATAATTAACGAATAAACGTAATAAAACATTTACAAACCTATTAAGCGTGTTATTAAAATTAATTATTACAACAAATTTTGTTTGAGTAGATTCAATGTCGACAAATTTCATGAAACTTTAGATCGACGAATGAAAGATCGATATAATTGGATCAATTTCGAGAAACTAATGTAAGATTTGCAATGGAATTTGCTTGTGTAGCAAAGTCGCGTTCGTTCTGTTTCCACGTATTATTTAATCTTATGGAACATCTATGACGGATGCACGCGATAATCGAGAACGATCGTACTTCCAGGTAACAACGAGTGGCAGCACAAGGTCTGCTTGGCTTGCTTGCGTTCCTTAGAAGCGAATGGGAAGAGAGGTCTGAATAAGGACTAATCTAACGATGATAGGAATGCGAGCTTAATGTCATTACCTAAGCCAGTTGAAATCGTGCTTGGTTTCAAGCCTGATCAACGTATTCGAGACTATGGAATTTGATTTTGATTATTAGAAATGTGACGAATTATTTGCTAATAGTGTGAAATCAATATTCATCATATTATAATTGGCGATAACTCACGTGCAACGCGATTATTAACACAAATATCGAATTGCGTTACGCATTGTTCAATTGATTCTCATTACTTTCATTTTTTACCAACAATTATTTTCTTCGATTCGTGTGGCTAGCCATTTATACGCGATTTAACAATCTTTTAGATTTTTTTTCTTTTAATTAAACATTCTGGAAGAACTTTATTGTGTACCTACTACTGCTTTTTATGTGTTACTTTTGTTATATTATATTCTCGTTAGAAACATATGAAGAATCTTACAATTATTCTTAGTTTTAACAGTTATCAAGTATCACAAATCCGCATTAAAAGATAATTTACTTTGCATGCAAATCAAGATGACATTACTCGATCGATATTTGTCACGAGGCTGACTTAAATATAAAGAAATTTAAAAAGCTAGCTCGACGATTTCAAAACAACCCTTTATCTTTCGCTCTAATTATCAATACATTGATGAATCGAACGAATTAAATATTCCAACATATCCAATTGTATCTAAAAATGTTTATTTACTTGAACGAGTGACAGAAGTCTGATCTGACACAAAAAAAAAAAAAAGATTCGTAATTCTTTCGAAGATTGTCCAGTGTTTGTGATGTCACGTGTTCACTGGTTGTTCATAGTCAAAGTTTGACACTGGCATGTTTCAATTGGTTACGAGTCCTTGAGGTTCGCCTCTGGTGCTTAAAATCGTTCGAAACTAAATCAATTGGATTTTTTTGATGATTTTGGTCATTGACAGGATACGCGAGAGTCCGGATTTTTGAAACGGAATTTCTCTAACGAACCGAAAATAGTCCACTTAAAGTAGCACTTCGATAGTGACTGGAACGTTCGTCAGAGGTCCTTCTTTTTTTTTTTCTTTTCATGGATGAGTTTATAGGAATAACAAAGAAAAAAAGAAAAAAAAAAAAAGGAGAAGCTTCCGGAGCGGCATGGTGCAAACGATCCAATGGTGTTTCTCTTCGCAAGTTGTTGCTGGTGTATTTGCTGCTGGCGTTTGCTGCTGGCGAGCTAACAGTTTAGCACCCAAGAAAATCAACAGCAGCCTCAAAGAGCCTTTTCAAACAGAGCGTTACGCTGTTCGATTAGCGTTGCTGCACTAACGATCGAAGTTCGAAAAGGTTGGAAAAAAGAGGACGCTGCTGGACACACGCGTGAACCTACATAAATTCGATTTTACGGGTTTCTTGTATTCTCTCTCTCTCATTCTATCTTATCCTTTTTCTATCCATCTCGACACTTAATTAATTCATTCCATTTTTGTCTCTCGCAATAGCACAACCATTTAAATTTTTTATAATTTTAAAAATGACTATTTGAACAGAGAGAGAGAGAGAGAGAGAGAGAGAAGTTTGCTCATTACGACTTATCGCGTATAGTAACACGGTGCAAATTAGTAGTCCTCGGTATATAGGTCATCGTGAGGATGAAAGAAAGGAAGAGAGAGGTACACTAGCGAGTTCTTTGAATTTCAAATTAAACTCCTAAATTTTGTCTTTTATTCATTTTTTTCATTTCGTTTGAAAAAAGGAAAATTTATTTAAACGCGACCGTCAGGTAGTAACTAATAACAAAGAGTCGTACGAACGTCGTATAATTTGTTAAAACAGGGGCCGGGGGGGAAACAAACAAAAAAAAATGAAAAGTAAAAGATCGAACGGAACGATCGGAAGCGAGAAAATATTCTATGTACCCTGTGTGCCCCGTTTAGATGAGAAGAAAAAAAACAACATTACGAGATGAACCCGTCCGCATAGAATCCAAAGAAACAACGAAGATGGTCGTAAGTTTTCTTTGTGCTCATTGATTCGGAACGACAGTGATTAATAAATAAACGAACGTATTCGGCGTTCTCTCGTATGTGTAATATTTAGCTTATGTTAGTAAGAGTAGGTAGGTGGTAGGTAGATAGGTGTAGGTAGGTAGGTTGATAGGTAGGTGTACGTACTACGAGAATGTTTCTTTCGGACTGAGACCGAGGGCAAGATAACTATGCATAAATACAACATAAAACGCGGTCATAAATTATGGATTCATGGAGATAAATTTGTTTGGTGGCGCCCGTGTACCAGAAGAAGAATCACTAGCTAGAGAAACTTTCTTCGAAAAATCAGATATCACGGTTACAACGTGAAGAATGAAAATCTTGCTTTCTCGTCTGTACCGTCATATGACAAATTTCATTTTACAATTAGAGCAAAATAACGAAGTACGAGTATACTTCGATCCAAATTAATTAATTTTTTTCTTTTTATTTAAAAACTAAGATGAGAAACATGGAAAGAGACGATCTAAACTGTTAAAGATTATTTTTGATAATAGGAATCACGTTAATCGATTGATCTTTTTTGTGAATAAAAGACAAAAATTATATTAATTATATTAAATGTATATATGTATCAGTGGAAGTCTGATCGAATTATATCGACTTGTCGCAACCGATCGAATTATATCGTCGCGGAACGTGTATAGACACTCCTAAGGAAATCTAATGATCTCTACGTAGCCGTAAAACGTGCCAGGAACGGTTTATCATTACGATCTCGAAGAACGAAATCGAGATATTCGTTCGACACCCACGTAAACTCACGACCGCGACGACGACGCTCTGTTCCTAGAGAACCAAATGAAATATTTGTCCTTTGTTTCACAATTTTTATTTCTTCTCGAAAGTACCCGGGCTCCTTAGAGAGATGTTGTTGTTGCACTTGCTTGGAAAAACCGAACAACAACAACAAAAAATCTTCAAAGACACCTTTTTTCGTTTTATTTTTCCATATATATTTTCTTATAAAAAAGAGATGACCACATTAATTATGTCTTCAACAACAATAATAAAAAAGAAAAAAGAAAACATCTCACCTAAGAGATATATCTCGTTTATGACATTAGTGCAATATTTTAGAGAAAATACGCTAAAACTCGGAGTACTAATTCCTGGTGTGTTTCAAATATCTTTTCAGTGGAAGTAATACGCGCATACAAACCTAACGCGTATAAATGCTTATGCATGTATTTATGTATATACTTTACCTCTATAAAAGAGAAAACGGCGGTACGTCACACGGTATTTAAATAAACGCATCCTTTCTCTCTCTCTCTCTCTCTCACTCGTTGGCGGTCGTCTCTCTAATTTGTCCGTTCAAACAAAAAGCAATTTGTTATCCAGCGAACTGACTCTTGGGCCGGTGGTGCGCGCGGTATGGAAAGAGAAAAGCAATCGAATGATGCGAGATAGAAAAGGACGGAAGATATATGCGAGCAGTGTGAAAAAGAAGAGAGAGAGAGAGAGAGAGAGAGAGAGAGAAGAGAGGAAAGAAGGGAGGGAAAGAGGAAGAAGAGGTAGAGGCTGATTTAAACCTGTCTGGCGGCCCGCTGCGCGCTTAACAACTGAAAAACAAACATGGCGCCGAGAGAGAAAGAGAGACAGAGATAGGTCGCATTGACCAGCGGGAGCCCACGTATGCCGCGCGCACCGAGACCATAAAGTGCTTCTGGTACCCCCATGGAACCCGGTTGTTTCTTCTTGCCGTTGTTTTACCCCGCGGGATGTCGCTACGTAAGTACTTTCCGTCCACCAAGAAGGTGTCGGGGAAGCTCCCCGGAATCCTTTTCTTTCCTTCTCCCACTCTCGATTTACTCCTTATGATGCGCGTCCTACCAACGTTTACAAATCCTTTGGACGGGTGCTTACGCTATTTTCTTTGATGGGATACCAAGAACACGGGAAGACGCACTACTTTTCATATATTTTGACTTTTCCTTTGAGAATTGTTCTCATTTTTCTTTTTTTTTTGTTTAAGTTTTGTATCATTGGTTGAGTTTGTATTCTATTCGAAGATATGTGGCTAGAGTTTACGCTATTTTAGATTTATTACGAAACCACGTAATCAGTGTTTTCTTTTATCTATTATTATCCTGAGGAGAACATACGTACTATCGATAAATGGTTTTCGCGATATAACGTTGCCATACTTGTCGCTATCCATCACGGCGCGGCCATCGAAGCTTCTCGCCCGGGCAATCCTTTTAAAAGTTTAGATGGCAGATAAAAAGAGAGAGAGAGAGAGAGGAAGAAAGACAAAAATGAGTATAGAACAAAATTTGACGGCAGATTCGAACGAGGATTGCAACGGATTTAATGGAATGAACTAGTGTGTGCTCACGTTCTACCCCCTCGTTAAAGAACGAACGAACAAATTCCAAATGCGCCGATATACGATAAATGTTATTTATCTCCTGCTATCTCTCTCTCTCTCTCTTTCTATTTTTTTTTTAATTTTCATCGTTGGCTCATTTTCCCGGATTAATTTCAGCGAAATATTTCGCGATAACGAATGCGTAACGATAATATTTCGTGAATGAACTTACACCAGGAGTGCTTGCTTGCGGTCCATAGGGATACCTCGTCCACTCGAGCTTCGCCTCCGCCGTTGTGTCCAGGAGAACGACTGAAATCAAAAAGAAAAACAAAAAAAAATAATGCAACGTCATACATTTCAATGAGAGAAACAAAAAGATAAGATAGAATTTTTCTGAAATTATATTTCCGTTTAAATCATTGTTAATTATAAGAAAATATAGAACATCAAAATTGGATGACACGTTGTTTTCTATTCGGAAAAAGAATTAAGACGTGTCTCTCTTCCACATTTTCATCATTTTATATTTGTATTTTTTTGTTTATCGTCAGGAAAACATTGTTGAGACAGTAATGAACGAGGGAGTGTAAGCTTAATTACACGTGTTATAGATACGCGTCGAGAAATGAGCGTAAATACGAGCGTTACACGGAAATAATAATTGGAAGAAGGGCCGTAAGCAAAGAGAAAGAAAGAAATAAAGAAAGAAAGAAAGAAATAAAAAGAAAGAAAGAGATAGACAGATAGATAGATAGAAAGAGAAAGAGAGAGATAAATCCATTTTAACGGGAGAGACTCGTGAGTAGTGCTGTGGTGGTACACGTCGATTTAGCAAGCGCATATCTCGTGAATTTTAATTAGACGAGGCAGCAGTAGCAACGAATGCACCGACGATGTGTGTAGGCGGCGTACGACGACGACGAGGAGCAGCTCACGGCCGATGGAAAAGCGAGTCGCGAAGCGTTGTTCGGTAAAAGAAGGGTGGGAGGAGGGAGGGCGGACGAGGGGGACGCAAAAGAGAGAAAGAAAGCTGCTATGTTTGGTCGTTGTTTTTCGACGCGTGGAGATGTTCATCGCGCAAAAGCGAAGCAACGAGAAGAAAGCTAGCTGAAGCTAGCTACCGGAGGAGGATGGGTGGGTGAGTGGGTGGTTGGGTTGTTCTCTCTCTCTCTCTCTTTTCTACCCCTCTCAAAATGGCGGCTTCTCGAGAGCGCGCTAAAACACCTTGCAGCAGCACGGCGGCTTCCGTCGCGGCGTTCCTCCTACTGAGGAGGGTGAGAAGTAGGAGTAGTAGTCAAGGGAATGAGGAAGAGAGAAAGCGAGAGAAAGTTAGACGAGGATAAAAAGGGACAGGGAAAGGGAAAAGGTAAAAGAGAGAGAGAGAGAGAGAGAGGAGGKAGCATGAGTGCGAGAAAGCGTATCGACCGGCACCCCTACACACCTCAACACAAGTTTGTCCTCACCCTCCCTAACGTTCGACGCGCCACCCCAACGACAACAACGACGACGACGACGACGCTCAGCGTCGTCGTTGCACCACCCTCCTCCTCCTCCTCTCTTTCCCTTCTACCTTCGGCAGCCCTCGGGTCCTTGAATTCCTAGGGCAAAGTACCTCAGCCGACGTTGTGTGCAATTCGTCTCCGCTGTTCACCCCCCAAAACACATACACACCGGATGGGAATCTCAAAGGTGAAAACTGCGTACTGCAAAATCCATCCAGCGCCCTTCAACCGGCGGCTACCACCACCATCATCACCACCACCACCTCTTTCTCTCTTTCCACCAAGCTGCAGTCACCCTTCGTTCGTTCGTTCATTCGTTCGTTCCCTCTTCCTTCACCTCTTTTTTTGCCACCCTCGCACACGCGAGACACGCCAAATAATCCCAGGGGCTCTCACGGCAGACGCGAATGCGTTTAGACGTGCGAAAGAATATACCAAGCAGCGATAAGAGATCGCATTTGATATCCACCTTTTTGAAAGGTTGGTAACTGACGAAGGTTAAGACCGGATCGACACCGATTTCACTAAGAAATAATCCGCGTATTATCTTTCTGTGTTTTCTATTTATGTTTGGTAAACTGTTGTTGCGAGGAAGAAAAATAAAATGAAGAAAAAAGATAGATTGACGATCATCAGAATTATCTTGGTAGATCTTCGTAGAATGTTGCAAGCAAACAAGCAAGCAAGCAAGCAAGCAAGAGGGCTAGCTAGCTAGCACGTCTACTGAGTTGTTTCATTGCGTCTAATAGGCTTTGCAGTCCGTCGGCTTTATTTAAGTGCCCTCGAGAAGTACTTTGGATACATAGGAACGCGGCGTCACTGACGATCAACCGATTTCGAGGAGCAAGATTCCACCCTCCTATCTATCTATCTATCTATCTATCTATTTCTCTCTCTATCTCTCTCTCTTGCTCCTTACTCAATCCTTAATATACCTCAAGGCGGCGAAGCTTCGAGATTGACCCATTATTTGAACGAACCAACCGGGTGGTCGGTCTTCATTTCGGTCCACTGACTTTCACGCGAACGTGCTCTCCTCATTCAGCGAGTTATCGTCATCTATAAGTTTTTGACCCTTTGATTGTGAACAGTCATTCAATCAAATTTCAAAAAATTATAAAAAAGAAATTGAAGATCTCAATATATTTCTTTGTTTCTATAATAACATTTAGATTGAGATATTTTGAAAAAGAAGAAAATAATAAAATAAATCAAACGAGATACGAGAGAGATAGATACATTTCGCGATACATTTGAAATACGTCAAATTCGAAATGAAGAAGAAGAATTTTCGTATATAAAATCAGTGAAAACTTTATTCGAGAAACTCTTTTTCCCGGTCGAGTGGACGAGAGAATCGAGAAGGTTTAGGTTTAAGATCGCACGGGAAAACTCGGTAAAAAAAAATTATTTTTCTTTTTACCGTGGAAAAAAAAAAAAAAAAAAAGAAGCAGTGACACCGGTTCGGGCGTCCTCTGAATTTTTCAGGAAGACGGTCAAAGAGCGCTTTGAAATTCCAAACGNAAAAATCGTGCAAAAGATAAAAAGGTTGATACCTCTATTCGTAACATTTTATCGAACGTAAATAATCTTATTGTAAAAAAAAAAAAAAAAAAAAAGAAGCAGTGACACCGGTTCGGGCGTCCTCTGAATTTTTCAGGAAGACGGTCAAAGAGCGCTTTGAAATTCCAAACGGCCTCGGGGATCGATTCGTAGCACGTAGCTTGTTAGAGAAGGGAGCAACCGGAGGAGAAAGAGTAGCAATGGTGGTAGTAGTATCAGTAATAGTAATAGTAGTAGTAGTAGTAGTAGTAGTAGTAGTAGTAGTAGAAGAAGAAGAAGAAGAAGAAGAAGAAGATACGCTGCCGAAATAAAGAAAGAAAAGAGAAAGAACATGTAAGCTCGCAATCGTGCTTATGCTCGTGCTCGTGTTCGTGTTCGTGCACTGAACAAACCGACACGTGCATTATAGGTGTATGTCGTGGCACGGCGAGTTGGTGCAACGGACACGTGTCACACGACACGAGTCACTCGCATAGTCGCATTGTCGTGGAATTCTTCGAGAGCAGACGAGGAGTTTCTCTCCCTATTGGATTTACGAGTCGGTGCTCAGACAACGAGACCGAGAAAATGTTCGTAATTATGTCACTCGCAAACGAGGAAACGTGGAATTTGCGTTAAGAGGAAAGATGGAGGAGGAGGAGGAGGAGGAGGAGAGGGAAGAAGATGAAGAAGGAGTCGATCCTATTCATAGGAAAGATTATTACGACGTTTATATCCCACCTCGTGAACTTTTTATACGAAGTTTGCTGCTTATAATGTAATTGCTACGCCATATTGAAATATTCGAGCAACTATAATATAATACATACTTGTGTACGTCTATGTTAAAGCAATTCGTTCCATCGAATGAAATAACGGCGAGGAGGATTTGAACGATAAATCGAGATAGAACGTTCTTACAGTTCATTTTTCTTTTTTTTTTTTTTATCTTTCCCCTTTACCCTAAGGTTAGACCTCGCTTGAATACTTAAAAGTCTTCGTCGGATTCCCTCGCGGCTAGCCGCCATTTTTAAATCCCCGACTTTATCCCACGCTCCTGAATAAAATAAAGTTTCATCGATATAGTAATATATCGTTGGAATATAAATAATATATATATATATATATACCTCTCTCTCTCTCTCTTTTTTTTCGGTTAGAACGCGTTATCAACGAATCCGAAAAGTCAATTGTTTAACATAGGTAACAAGATCGTGACTTAGGATCTTTCAATTTTCTCGATAAATTTGGTTTAAGAGGTATCGTTGGAAAATAATAAATTTAATAAAGTTCAAAATCATTCGAATTTCGTATGAAGAAAAAATCGTGCAAAAGATAAAAAGGTTGATACCTCTATTCGTAACATTTTATCGAACGTAAATAATCTTATTGTAAAAAAAAAAAAAAAAATCAACTAAAATGATTTAAAAGGATTAATGTTCGGACGAATTCTCGGCTCTCGTCTAGCGACCTACATTACCTAGAAATGGCACTTGCTCTAATTCCTGTTTCATGAAATTTCATATAAGCTCAAGATCTCGATAAAAATTTCTTTCAAATTAAATAATAAGAACCCCTTTTTCTCTTCTTCGAACGTAGCAATTAGTTAATTCATTTGCTCGTAACAAAAGATCGAGGAAAATTGTTTTAATTGTTCATTAAGTCGACCAAAACTAATTTCAAACTTTCGTAATTAAAATAATAATAATAAAACAAGGAACAAAAGAAAAGGTGGAAAATAAACGATCGAAGAAGCTTTCTCCATCTATACTGCATTTTTCATGAGATTAAACAAATATGTGACCGATAAATCTCATTATTCCTTTTTCTTTCTTGTTTCGTAGGAAATACATATGAATGATTAAAATTAATGAAATTAGGAAGTTTGCCAATAGCGTTTGAACGGTGGATCATAAATTTCGAAGTAATTAATAGGATTTCATACGCAACGTTAATATCACTAGAATATTGATCCAAAAAAAATGATTCGAACATCCTACATCCTCTTTTCCCAATCTTACAATTACTCGGGTACATACATTTAACTCTAGGCAAAACCTTTTATAAACGGACGCTGTAAATCGAAGCGGTTAAACGTAATTAGTATCGAACTATTTAACTTGGAACGACAATAAATGTTCGGATCGAGTTTCGCGGTAAATTACCGGCCGATAAATGTACCGTTCTCTAACCGTGCTTTGTAAAACTTGTAACGGTAACGATCGGATTCTGGTATTTCACGGTTTTGCAAAGTATTTTCTTTAC